AAAGCACGAGAAAAGGCACCAAAAAAGCACGAGAAAAGGCACCAAAAGAGCACGAGAAAAGGCGCCAAAAAACACGAAAAAAGCACGAGAAAAAGCACGAGAAAAGCACGAGAAAGCGCGCGAGATTTTGAAAGCGGGATTGGTGCTCCGAAGATTGTCCCCGCGGAAACGGTGGATCAGAACACCGGTGGTCCTGGGACTCCGGGGGTGGCCCTGGGGGAGGGGGTTGGGGGGTCTGAGGGGGTTGGGGGGTCTCCTGCCTGGCAAGTTCTTCGACCTTGTGCGTGGCATGGGCAAAGAATTTCCATGAGCCATGTGAGTGTCTCCTGCGAGACATGCTCATGCAGCCCATGCATATGATGCAATATAAATTAAGGATATTAGTGATATTAGTATATAATATATTCATAGCTTTTGGGTGTACTAGTCTAGTAGTATACAATAGTAGTGGTAGTAATGGTAGCAGATGTAACCCAGTGCAATGTAACTCAACATCAGGTTGGTGAAAGACTGGGAGTGAATGAGATGAGAGGGCCTTCGGGAGTGAATGAGATGAGATGAATGAGATGAGATGACAGGGTTCTAAACCTTCAAACTTCAAATCACAATTGAAGATGGTACCTTGTTGAAGTGGCCTGATTTCAGTTTGAGATTTGTGGTGCTTTTTCTCTTAGTAAGTTTAGTAGGGAAAGCATTTTGCGACTGTTACTGGGGGGGGGCAGGGTCCAATTTAGAGTCTGTTTGAAGGAAATGTTGAAAAACATGTGTGTAAAAAAAATAACACCAATAATTGTTAAATAGTTTCCTGCTCTAAGCCCTTCATGTCCTGTCTTCCCTTCATGTTAGTTTCCTGATTTTAATGTGTCCTTTTAGTTGGGTCATGTATGAGCTTGTCCAAGAACATTGACAAAACCATGTTGTTTATAACATGCCCTTGATGGGTCCTGTCCTCACCTAAGAGGAAAAAACAGTTGCCTATAAAATGCCCTGACCAGGAGCCAGTATCTAAATTAAGAAAAATCAACTCCTGCTATAAAATGCCCCCTGGACACAAACAGCCCCAAAAAAGACTCAAGTTTATGAAATGCAAAAATGGACCTCGTACCTCCTAAACCCTCAAAAAAACACCAAGATTCCAAGTGTGCACCGCTTGGGTCCCCCGTAAAATGAGGGTCAAAATTTGCATAATATAAGCACAAAAGCATCGGCATTTTATAGGCGAACACGGGTGGGGGATGTTGTAAGTCAAGTTTTTTTGCCGAGTTTCTCCGCGCATTCTTCGAGCGCCGAGTACGGCACACTGTGTGTGTGTGTCCAACTTTTGTTTCCAAGAGCAATTTTTTAACTTTCAGCAGGGGGCCAGGACTCCCTGGTGCACGTCCTGGCCAATGAAGACCGCGCACCAGGGAGGTGTAAACGTGCCTGCTGTTGTTTAGCTGTTGGTTGGTTGCTGTGGTCCCTTGGTTTGTTTCATGGTGGTTCATGTACCTGATGTTGTTCCGGCATTTTAATTTCATTCTCAAGGGCTAATGCGTGGTAAAGGGCCAATGCGTGCGTTCAAACAATTCGGTTCTCTGACCCAGCATTCGTACAGTTGCTTCAAGTCAAGCGCTAAGTATTCATCGGCGAGTCACATACTGACATTTATGCAATTTATGCTTATTATATAATTCATTTGAGTGTGTGTATATATATATATATAAGAGTGTCTGTGGCGCACGTGCCTTCTTGTTGAACCGAACCAAGCCCATAGCGTGCCGTCTTGTCCTCGAGCTCTGTAAATACATGCGGTTTCCAGGCTTGCGAGCAAAAGTGGGACAAGTCAAGGTAGCTGTCCTGCCGCTTGAGGGGCTCCAGTCTTCTGGCTGCCGTTGACTTCTCCGTCCTTGCTCCTGGGCGATTCCGATGGTCAAAATTGTCACCAAAACGTCCCAGCTCTGCAACCAAGGTGCTCAGAAAGGTGTTGTGATTTCGAGCAATTCACTGCACACCCTCACCCGTTTTGAGCCAGGGATGGCTGCAACGCAGGTCAGTGGACAACAGATTCGACCAACGTATATATTCTTCCTAAAATGCTCGTCCAACACATGGACCGGGAAAGCACCCGTGAGTCGCAATATACAATGCGTCAATGAGTTGCAATGAGTCAATGGAGCACATGCACAAGTCTGGCTCCGCTATCACCAATGTGATCGAACGAGTTTAGTTTAAGCGGCCTCCCACGCCAGGAACCTCTCCGACGAGTGCTGAGTCTGAGTCATCCTCAGATTCACGTGAGAGCATTGCACCGCTGCACCCCAAGAAGCATGTCCCCTGCTCATTGCCATCAGCGTGTCAGCATTCAAAGCAAGATCGGAGCAGGGACTGCCAGTGCTCGGGGTCATACCACTTTACATTGTGGTGCAAATCTGGACTCCTTTGCTGATACCTCCTGGTGCTGCAAGCTGAACATATGCTTCTGTTAAATGTCAATTCAAATCAATTCAAGAAAAACTTGAAGACCTCTGGTGGGGCATAGAGATGCATGGCAGCGGCTTCCTGCACGCTAGCAGGCTTCGTGTAGAAGACTTCACAAGCCATATGTCCACCCTTCTGCCGTTGCTCGTTGCACCTCGTCAAAGCTTGGTGTCGCTGCTTGCGGAGGCTTCTCCTTTTTTAGAAGAGGCCCTTTTCCCGCAGCCAAGTTCTGCAGGCGTTGTATGCATTGAATGCAATTGCGTGAAGAAAACTGTGAACGAGGCAATACACAGCATGGCACATTGATTACCAATGGCCTGTATGCAAATCTCAGCTCCATTGTGACTTAACACGACTTGCCACCCATGGGCGGCCACAAGCCAAACACATCACAACAGGTCCATGCCAGCCTCCAGCTCCATTTCCATCTCTCTTGCCTCTGGTTGCGCTCAACACTCAAAGCTGCCCCTCTAAGTTCTGGACCTTCTTGGCGTCCTTTGACACACAGAGACACTTGACAAAACAATTTGTTTGAAGAACGTATCTATATACAAAAACAAGAAAACAACGTGCTTGGGCCCATTGAAGGAACCCCCCTTTAAAAGGCCCAAGCAACTTTTTCCTCTTATATAAGTTCTGGACCTTCTTGGCACGTGTTTGGATCACTGCAACTGGATCTCGGCAGCCTGAAGCAAATCAATGCAAATCATGATATATAGTCATCTGCCTCTCCACTCCCCACTGTGCCAAGTGGGCTGTGAAATTGGCCTGACATGGTACCAGCAGAAATGACCCGTCGTTGGTCGACCTGGCTAAGATCCAGATTTTTTTCGCGCATTCGTGCTCTTACTGCGCCGTCCAAGTGTGGGTGATGTCTGACAGCTTAGGTCTGCTGGCAGTCAAATAGGGGGCGACCATGTCGGGGTTGGATTTGCTCTGACTTTTGCATAGCCATCCCATCTGGGCAGAACAGAGGTAACTTGGTGTTTTGTCAGGAGGAAGGCGGAGGCAAGTATGAAAAGGTCTCAGCGAGCTTGAGGTGGTTCAGGGTGGCTAAAGCGCTCGCTGCAATCTGTTCACTGCAGCATGCAAGGGGCAAGGCCTTTCTGGCGTCGGTCCTGACCACCTCAGAACATCTGCTCCGAGGCCCTGCGCGGGCTACTCAAGAAGCTTGGATACAAAGATAGTAAGGCATCCACAAAAGTTTGCGTGCTCTACTGCACCCATCCCTCCGCCCTACAAAAGGTCATTTTCCATTGGGTAGCCTTCAAGGTCCATTACCTTGTCTGTACACCATGACCTTCT